GCACTTACAGGGCAGGTGGTGAAAATCCCTGGCCCTCATTTTTTTTTTTTTTTTTAATTTACAGAAAGGTTTGTAGGGAGGGAAACCAAGCCAGTACCTCGGCATTGAGGTCCACTGCTGACCACCTACAGGGTGCATTGGCAGGGAGGAGCAGAGCTGTGGGGCAGGTTGGTACCCCCTTCTCAGTTGCTAACTGAATACCAGAAGAAATCTAAAGCATTTAGAAACACCAGAAGCAGGGAAAGGGCAGCCAAGCCTGCAGAGTGAGGATGAAGGGCAGGGACCTCTCCCAAAGGATCCAGGTAGTAGCCTGCTACCACAGGCCTGTCGCAAGGAGCCTTGCTTGGTCTGTGTCCTTCCTTTGAGCACAGCACCCAGGGGTCTTCCAGCATGTTTGCTTCTTGTTGGGGAGCACCCAGAATCAAGGCCTTAAAACTCAATCTGCTTGCAGTCTCCAGGAAGAGCCATGAAGCAAAGCAAGCCTGGTGTGCCTCCCTCCTAGGTGTTCCCGTGGGTGGGAGTGGGGCCACCCTGATGCCCTTGCAAGGCTGCAGAGCAGCAACTAGGGACCTATGCCCCAGGCTCTTTTCTGCCTCATGCCTGTTTTATGGCCTGGCCGTGCCTGCTGCACATAGGGCTGTGATGTGAGACGTCTAACAGGGCAGCACAAGAAGGACCAGGGGTCCCTATGGCCAAGGTACCACCCACTGTGCGCCTCTCTCTGGGTGAGGAGTGTGCTCACCTTCCACCCTGAGCCCAGGCACAGCTGGCCTCAGTCATTCTTTCACCTGACTTTATAGTGACTTCTCAGTACTGTTAGCATATCCACAACCCAAAGAAACTAAAATAGAAAAGGGATTTTGTTTTCTCCTTTTTTTGTTTTTTTCTTTTTTTGTGGTGCTGAGGATCAAACCCTGGGCCTTATACCTCACATGCAAGGCAAGTGCTTTGTCACCGAGTCACATCCCTGGCCCTTCCTTGTGTCATTTGAACAATTCAGGTCAAGTCCTGTGAGCCTGTGTGGTGGTAGACTTCTGTGCTGGCCTCCTATATGTGGCCTGAGAGCCAGAGCCCTCACTCCCTGGGGGTGTGCCAAGGCTTAGTTGACGCCTTGCAAGCCACAGCTGGGGCCAGGCCTGACTTGTGTGCTAAAGGGGCTCCCTGTGCAGTAAGAGTTCCCCAGCACATGTCACTTTCAGCGGGCCCCAGGAAACTACATGGAGCCCAAGACAGATTCTTACCCACTCTCCGGGTCTATCATAACCTGAGATGTTTATAAAAGTGTGTTTATGCACAGTAGTGCTTTTAAGATAAACGGGTCCAAGGCAGACTTGTAAACCTGCTCTTGACACACGGGTTCACAGTGCCAGGTTCCTCTCTGGGGAAGATTTGCATGAGTGTGACTCTTACCTCCCCCAGCTCAGCAGACCTGCTTAATGACTCGCTTGTGTTGTTATTCCAGGTCAGGGGTCACCACATTGCAAAACTTGATCCTCTCGGCATTAGTTGTGTAAATTTTGATGATGCTCCGGTAACTGTTTCTTCAAACGTGGGTGAGAATGAATCTGTAAATGCTAATTTTAATGTAATTTTGCTTTTTTTTTTTTTTTTTTTACCCTTCCCTCTTTTTTTTCTCCTGTCCTTTTGTGTGTGTCCTTCCCTCTCATCGTTGGCCCACTCATAGATACGAGGGCACCATGTAGCACAGCTGGACCCCCTGGGGATTTTGGATGCTGATCTGGACTCCTCCGTGCCCGCTGACATTATCTCATCCACAGACAAACTTGGTGAGGGTCTGAGAGCAGTCAGCTGCATTGCTTGAGCTCCTCTTGCTGTGCCACAGCCTTTGGTAGCCAAGACGTCCATGCAGGAAGGAAAGGCTCTTAAGTTTCCTTTGTTCTGATCACTTGAAATTTATCAGTAATGAAGCATTAGTGTGTTTGGGCCCTGTTGTTTTTATCCCACTTTTTCAGCCAGATTGTCCAAGTCTCAATCTGGAAAGTAAAATTTTCAATGGGAAGGTGTGTAGCACAGAGAGAAACTGGCCCCCGCAGGACAGGGGAATGGGAAGCTGCTCCAGAGAAAGCTCTTCTGGCTCTGACTTTCCATATCCTAAAGTACAACAGGGCCTGCCTGTGGCTGGAGGCTGCTCCTGTCCCTAAGGGGCAAATTGTAGAACAGAGCATGTAGTTTGGGCTTCCTGATTCACAAATGGTGGTGATCACACTGAGGAAACTTTGGACATTATTCCTGCGGCGTCAGGAGGCCAGGGCCTTCAGAAGTGCATGTGTGGAGCACAGGGGTTTTGGTCACAGTGGCCAGAAGATAGGCCCGCCACACCCCAGCCTCCTCTCGAGGCAAACGGGTATGAGGCTGGCACTCCTGCAGTCGCTTCCAGAGTTAATCTGCTTATGTCACCATGCTGCTAACCCGTACTAAAGAAATGACAGCGTAACTAATTGTGAAATGCCAGGGCTTCACACAGGCGCTGTGCATGCCAATGACATTGATGATCACCTTGCTAATATTGCTCTTGGGGAGAGGGAATATTAGCTTCCTCAAAGGCACTTTTGGGGAAGGCTGCAGAGAAATGATCCCTGCAGATGTGTGCTAAGTTGTAACTTGGGGTCAGACATTAATTGGGTAAAGTTAGACCTTAAACAGTATTGATTCTGGAGCTGATGTTAGCTGTTTGTAATTGCTCTTTAGTCTTGATTTCAGAGAAACTCTTGAACAATACAGGGTTTTTTCTACATTGTCCCAGCCTGTTAGCAGGTTTAAGGAGTGAATAGGAAAAATACAAACTTTTTCTTCTGCCCTCACACTCCAACGATCAGCCCAAAGGTGTCCTCCAAAGGGGTGGGGAGCCCCTTACCCCACCCTGCAAGCAAGCAGCCACTTGTCCAGCACTAGTTCTGGCTGGGCAGCCATAAGTTGCCATTCCTGCAACACCCTTCTCAGGTTTAGTTAATTTGCTAGAGCAGCTCAGACAACTCAGGGAATTTTCTCAGCTTATTATAATGGATGTTTTACTGGATACAAATAAATAGCCATGTGAAGAGGTACATAGGGCAAGGACTTGGAAAGGTTCTGAGCACAAGGATTTTCATCTGCACAGTTGGAGTGCACTGTTGCCCACTGGCCAGTCCTCCTTCCTCTGAGCTTCCACATGGCCTGCTACTCAGAAGCTCATTGAAGCCCCTCGTGAGGGTGGCATGGGCATGCCCATGTAGAACTGCCTATCAGCAGTGATCTGGTCCTCACGGATGGAGTGGGGGCACCCAGCAAGGCCTGTCGAGATTCTTCAGCATTTCTTCCTCGTGGGTACTGACCCCATCTGAAGTGGGCATCCCATCACCTATCATGGTTAAGTCAGAGATTGTCTTTATGGTCAATTCCAAAGCAGAAAGATGAAGACTAGTGTTTCTATGACCTGCCTTGAGAAAGGAGAATTCTAGTTACTCTGTGGCCTGCCCTGGAGAGGGAATTGGGTGGGAGGAACCAGGACAAAACCAAATATTTGTATCATACTACCCCAGGACGAACAGAGACCCATGGAATCTTACTGAGTAGGGCCAGTTCCAACTGAAGACTGGTCCTGAGTGGAACCTTGCTGTGTTCAGTTATGAGAGTTTTGTGTTCTCAACAAGTGTGGGTCCCGAGAGTCTTGGAGCCCCTTTCCTGCACTCACTGTGCAGTGTAGAAGAAAGAAACCCTTACTCCCTGACCCAGCGCAGTGCAGCTGGTGGCCCGGCTCCTCACACCCCTCTCTCACTTGCTGTCCCAGTGTGCAGTGACTGCTTGCACAGCCTTCTTGACTGGCAGCGTCCCCTCCTGTGCTCAGCAGAGGAGTGTGTCACACAGTCTTGGTGAAATATTCGTTTTCCCTACACAGCAAAACATTTCTGGTGGTGGTGGTTTGCTGTACTGGGGATTGAACCCAGGGCCTGTAAGTGCTCTATCACTGAGCTGAAGCCCCTGTTCCCCCGAGACGGCCTGGCTAAGTCACCCAGGCTGGGCTTGACCTTGCAGTCCTCCTGTCTTGGCCTCTCAAGTGGCTGGGATGACAGGCAGGTGCTGCATTGCACCGCAAAGCATTTGCACCAGAGAGGAGTGGGTGAAGGTTGGCTCTCTTCTCTGCCCAAACCCACATCATCCCAGCTCCTCTATCCCCTTACATTATACGGTGGGCCACATCAGAGCAGGGACCCTCCAGGGGAAGAAATCCTCCCATCTCCCGGGGCCACACATTTGGTGTGTAGGAGGTGTCATGGGGCCATGCTGCTGTATGTGTGACTGTGCATGGGAAATATGGGGTCACAGGTTGGGGTACCAGGATAAGGATTACTGTATACTGCAAAGTGACAGGTTTGGAGTGCTGTCATGCATAGAAGGGTCTGGACCGTGAGTCCAGAGTTCATTGCCATCTTGCCAGGCTGCTTGATTCGATTGACTGGTGTACTAGATATGTCCTGTGGGGTTCCTTTTGGGCTTTTGTCGCAGGTCCCTCCCTTTCCCAGTTGAGGGAGTGGTGGCATCTTGTTCCCATTAATTTGTGCCTCAGTTTTCTCTTTGAACTGTGGTGTTAGATCCCCACTTAAAAATGCTATCCTCTGTGGTTCCTATACAAATACTGTAGTGACTTTTCACAGATTTGCCTCACTGGGAGATTTTTTTTTCAATGTGAGATTTAAGCATCATTAAAAGACAATCCAAGGGTGGGGGGAGAAAAAAGAGAATCCAAGATAAGTGTGAGGGAAACAAAACTTCCACCTGCTACTAGTGTTTGCAAACTACTAGTAAAAGTTTTAGATAATGAACTTGAATTGAGTAGTTAAAAAGTTGATTGGAAATGTGTCCGGAAGTGTGGGAGGATTTCAGCTTCTTCAGTGAGTCACTTGTTGGGTCTGTGTCACTAAAGCCCAGTGAGTAACACAGTGTTTCCCTACATCCTCCTGACCTGGGCTCTCTGGTTTCCTCCTTGGGGACCAAGAAGAGTGAGCTAAACATACAGTTGATTTCTAATCAGCTTCCTAATTTCAGAGTGGTCAGAGCTCATTAGCAGATGGGCCCTGCTGTGTGCAGTGTGGTGAGCCTCTTGGCACCTGGGGAGGTACCAGCTGAGCCTGGCCTTTAAGAGGGTTTTTTACAGATACCTGGGAACCTTTAAGACCATCATAGCAGCTTCCGGTGTCACCTCCTGCCTCTTGTTGGCTGTGCTTTAATGTGTCATGACCATGTGCGCTGTGGCAGTGTCCCCCGCACATGCCTGTGAGCCTTGAGTAATTGCTAGAAACACTCGAGAACCCGGGTCCTAGGGAGATCATGTGCTTTCTGTAATTGAAAACTAAAGTACCTTCCAGTTTTCTTTTCACTCTCCTCTTTGGTTTGTGTCTTTTGTTTGCTTTTTATTTTAAATATATAAAGAAAGTGCAGGTAGAAATAAGTGTCCCTACACCCAGTACCCAGAATGTAACATCTTCCCAGATAGCCTTCAGTTGTTAACAGGGATGAGTACTTTGGTTTCATCTGAGGCCTCCCTGGTGCTCCATGTGGACTCGTGCCTGGAGCCAGTGCTCTGGGGACTGCTGAGCATGCTCTCCTGCTTTACCTTGAAGTCTGGAGGAGAGTAGTGTCTTCATCCTCGCCTTAGCCGAGCATCAACGCTTTGTGCAGGTCTTAGGTGCTCTGTGTCTTCATGAGCCATTGGACACTATCTTGGCTGTATGCCCCTGACCCCAGGGTAAGGGCAGAGCTTTGCCCAGCGTGCCTTATACTGGGGAATGGGTCTGTCCCTTGGACTCTCCTGAGTCAGGACTCAAATTGCCACAGTGAAAAGAAACTGGCTTTTCTCATGCCCGGGGCAAGGGTATCTGCAGTGACAGTGACCACAGTTCTGACTGCTCCCCACTCAGTCCTCTGTGTGCCTCTGCACCACCTGCCTCCTGACCCTGTCCTTCAGACCAGGCGTCCAGAACAGGTCTGGAGCCAGTTCTTTGTGTCCACATGAATGTTTTGGTCTTCATTAGTGGCCAGGAGAGCGCCTGTGTTGGGCAGCAGCACGTGGTGAATGCACAGCATGAGGAGGCTGCAGAACTCTGCCCAGCTGTGGCAAGGGTTCTTGGGATGCTTCAGCTTCCAAGCTCGTGTGGTGTCCCATTTTGCGGTCTTTGAGGAAAGCCAAGGACCCTCCTTTCATTCATTGGCATCCAGAGTACACTAGCTGCCCTGTGCATTAGGCTTTTTCATTTTCTTTTCCTCAGTCTTCTATCTCACAGTTGTTTAGATTGGGTATTTACGACCACCCAGGAGAGCGCTGTTGTCACTCAGTCTGTGGAGGCTGTGAGGAGATCAAACAATGCCTGATGCCTCCATCCTCCCCAGTCACCTCACTCCAGCTGTTCTATGAACACGTCCATATCCCCAACACTGCTGTCCTTGACCATCCCCTGCCCTTCGCCCATCCTGTCTCCCCAGTGTGTGTCCATGTCCCGTGTCTGTGCTGCCTGTTTCTGTGGTGGTGCCCTAGGGTTCTGGGCCTACGTTTTGAACTAACCTGTCTTTTTCCTTCTGCGCTCACCCACGCTACCCTACCCTGCCTCTCAGATCTTGCAGTTTTCAAGGAACGACTTCGAATGCTTACAGTAGGAGGTATGAAAATAATGAGCCCTTTCTTTCTGGAGTCCAAGGACTTCATTTGACTAGGATGTGCAGCTTTTCCTAGCATGTGATTTTGGGAAAGTTGACACAACTCTGTCAGTGTTTACAAGTTTGTTATTTGTTTGCAAATCCACTTCCCCCTTTATGTAGCTATTAACCAACATGTGGTGCTGTGTTTCCTTGTCCTTCCATTTCAGCCTGTGTCATGAGGGGCGCTTTTGGCTCCCTTGTGCCTCGCAGTCCATGCACTTAGCCTTTCCTGACCAGCATAGTTCACTGCCAGCTCCTGCTGCAGCCAGCCGGGGCCTGAGGCCACATTAGCTCTGCATGGTGGCTTCTCCTGCCCTCTACACTGTGCTATGGCTTTGGCTATACTCTGGATTCTTCCAGGTTGTGCTGCCTGAGCATTCTGGATAAGATTTCCACAGTGTCCCATGTCAGAAAACCAACTGAAATATTAATAACAATATGTCCAGGAGCTTCATGATCCTTGGTTTGGGCAACACTCTTGAGGAATCCAGAGTCAAGGTACTGGGGCCGTTGCCTACTGTCATCTCTCCTCACCCCTAGAAGCCAGTTTTTTCACTCCAGGCTTCCCTTCAGACACTCTCTTGCTCCTGTCTTAACTCAAAGGATATGCAAGGCTCAGCTTTGTGTGTATGGTCCTGGGATGGAACCCAGGCTTCACTCATGCTAGGCAGCTCTCTACCACTGAGCTACACCCACAGCCCTTTTTTACTTTGAGGCAGGATCTCCTTAAACTGCCTAAGCTGGACTTGATGGTGTAATCCTCCTGCCTCAGCCTCTGAAGTAGTTGGGATTCCAGGTGTGCACCACAGTGGCTAGTAGGACTACATTTTAGTTAGACTTTTCATACACAGATAGTTGTAGTGTCATGCGCAGTTGTAAGCACCAACAGAGCCACCTTGTGCCCTTGAGCAGGTTTCCCAGTGTGCTGATTTATAAATCACCATGCATATCACACGAGGCAGCAGGCCACAGTCAGAACGCAGAAGCCTTCCCTGCCACCCACGCACCAGGCTTGGCCCCAGCAGCCACTGTGTGTCATCTGTGTTTGTAGTTTCGTCATTTCAGGAGTGCTGTATAAATGAATCATAGTGTAGCCTTGGGGATTGGCATCTTCCAGCCAGTGTCCTATTCTAGAGCCCATCCAGGTGGTTGGTGTGCGTGGCTGTCCCTTCCATCTCTGTGAGTGCTCAGGGCAGGGATGCCGGTGTGGAAAGCTCACAGGGTATTGTACAGAGCAAGACTTTTTTTTTGTTTTTGTTTTTGGTGCCTGGGATTGAACTTGGGACCTTGCACTCACTTATGAGGTAGGCAGGGCACTACTGAGCTAAATCCTGGGCACAGCGCAAGTTTGTTGTTGTTGTTTTTTGGTACTGGGGATCAAACTCGGGTCCTTGTGCTTGCAAAGCAGGCTCTGGAACCACTGAGCCAAATCCCTGGACCTTGTTTTATGTTTTTGAGACAGGGTCTCACTATATAGTAGAGACTGACTTGGAACTCACTATGTAGCCAAGGCTGGTCTTGAACTCTCAGTAATCCTCCTGCCTCAGCCTCCTGAGTGCTGGGATTACAGGCATGCGCCACCACACCTGGCTAGAGCAAGTTTTTAATTTAGGTGACAGATTGTTTATCAGTTTTCCTCTATGGATCATATCTGGTATCAAGTCTATCTCTGAACCCTGAATCCCAAAGATTTTCTCATATGTATTTTTCTGAAAGTTTCACAGTTCTGTGTTATAGATTAAGTCTGTGACAGGGTATAGGCTTTGGGTCAAGATTCTTATATTAATGTTTGCTTACTGGAGCCTGATTGCTGTGGCAACATTAGCTGAAAAGTCTTGACTTTCTTCATTGAGTGGCTTTTGACCTTTCAAAGTCAGTGAGACTTTTTGTATGGATCTGTTGTAGGGGTTTCCATTTTCCTCTACTCTTATCTGTTCTTCCACCCATACTGCACTATCTTAATTATTGCGGCTACTGAACTTTCATTTTCTGTTTTCAAAATTGTTTTGACTATTCTAGGGCCTTTCTCTTTCCTTATAAATTTTAGAGTGCGTCTGTGTGTACATAAAGTCTTCCTAACATTTTGATAGGAATTGTGTTAACCGTAGTTGTATTTAGGGAAAATTGAGAAGAATTCCTTCTGTTCTGTTTTCTGGAAGAGTATAATATTGTTCATTCTTTAAACATTTGATAGGACCGGGGATTTAGCTCAGTCGTTCCACATTCCACCGCCTGCCTTGAAAGTGCAAGGTCCTGAGTTCAATCCCCAGTACCCCCCCCCAAAAAAAAACCCAAACCAAAACAAATAAACAAAAAACATTTGGTAGAATTTTCCAGCAAAATCATCTGGCAATAGCTGGGCATTGTGGTGCATGCCTGTAACCCCAGCCTGTAATCCTCAGGAGGCTGAGGCAGAAGGATCTCTGCAAGTTTGAGACCAGCCTGGGCTATGTAGTGAGTTCCAGGTCAGTCTCAACTACATAGTGAGATCCTGTCTCATCCCCCCCACCAAGTCATCTGGCAATTTCTTTTTTGGGAACTTTTAATTTATGAATTGAATTTCCCTACTAGTCACAGGACTATTCAAGTTCTTTAATATTAGGTGAGTAGTGATAATTCATGTTCTTCTAAAATGCTTCATTTCAGCTAAGTTAATGAATATATATGTAGAGTTCATAGCATCCTTATTGTTTTTTCTTTTTGTTTTTGTTTTTGTTTTTTGTCTCTGGAGACATCTTATTTCATTCCTGTATTAGTAAATTGTGTCTTCTCTTTTTCTTTGTAAGTCCTGCAAGGGGTTTGTCAGTGTTACTCATCCTTTCAGTGAGCCAGCACCTTGTTTCCTTGGTTTTTCACTGTAGTTTCTCTTTTTTTCAGTTTCGTTGATTTCTGCTCTATATTAGTTCCTTTCTTCTGCTTGTTAGGTTTTGTTTTATGAATTTCAGTCTTCTCTCAGGTCTTTGGGATAGGAACTTCCATGACTGATTAAAGACTTCTTTTCTGATGTGTGCACTTAACTACTGTAAAATTCAGCTGGGTGTGGTAGTGCACACCTGTAATCCCAACATTTGGACAGGCTGAGGAGGAGGATCGCTGAAAGTTTGAGGCCAGCCTTGGCTACATAAGGAGACCCTGTCCCGAAACAAATAACAGCCAAACTTCCCTTTCAGTACTCCTTTAACTGTTTCATCATCTTACATATACTGTGTTTTTATTCAGTTTGGTGGGAGTTGTTTTGTTTTGTTTTTGAGACAGGATCTCGCTGTATAATTCAGGCTGGCCTTGAACTCATTGTGTAGCCCAGGCTGACACTGCACTCCAGGCCATCCTCCTGCCTCAGCCTCCCAGGTGCTGGGATTCAGTGTATTTTTTTGTATCCTTTGATACTTCATGTTTGATCTTTGGATTATTTAAAGTGCACTGTTTAGTTTTCAAGAGTTGGAGGTTTTCTTGTTGTTTCCATTATTGATTTTTAGTTTGACTTCTTTGTGGCTGGAGAATATATCCCATATAATTTCAATTCTGCTAAATTTCTGGAGGTTTTTTTTTACCCCCTTGTTCTAAACAGGCCATTGTATTGACTATCTTAGTATGAATTCCGTGACCATGTGGAAAGAATACTGCTGTCTGATCTTGTTGGTTGATGGTTGTTAGATTCTCTTATGTCCTCACCAGTTTTCTCTAGTTTTTCAGTCGTTTGTTGAGAGATACTGAAGTTTCCAACTATAAATGTGGGTTTTTTTTGTTTTGTTTTGCTTTTTTGTTTTTGGCAGTACTGGGGATTGAACCAGGGGCTTTGCACTGAGCTTCATCCCCAGCACTTTATTTTTTTGAGACAGGGTCTTACTAAATCTCTTTAAGTTGCCCAGGCCCAGCTTGAATTTGCAAATCCTCCTGCCTCAGCCTCCCAGAGTTCTGGGATTACAGGCATGCTCCATCAGGCCTGGTTTAAATGTGGGTTTTCTGTTTCTCCTTTCAGTCTTACCAGTTTCTCTTTCACATATTTTATAGCTCTTATTTGACACATGCACTTTTAGGATTGCTATACCTTCTTGGTCGATTGATTCTTTTATCATAATGTTCTCTTCTGTCTCTGATAATTTTTTTTTTAACTCTGAAGAAGTCCACCTTATCTGATACTAATACATCTTGGTTTGTTTGATTAATGTTTGTATATTTTTCCATTCTTATTATCTTCAACCTGACTATGTCACATGTGAATTTCCTACAATAAGCGTATAGTTGAAAAATCTACTCTGCCAATTCTGTCTTCTATTTGGTGTATTTAGATTATTTATAATTTTGATGTTAGTGTTTAAGTCTGTCGTCTTATAGTCTGTTTATTTTTGTATCTTTTTATTTCCTGCCCTATGAATTTGTGTGTGTGTGTGTGTGTGTGTGTATACAGAAACATTTTTGTGTATACAGAACTCAGGACCTCATGCTTGCCAGTCAGACACTGTTGCCCTTTGGATTGTTATATTTTTAAAATTCCATTCTATTATATGCAGTGTTTTTTGTTTTGTTTGTTTTTGTTTTTGAGCATGTCTATAGCTCTTTAGTTGTGCCAATGGTTACATTATACAGAAATAATTTCTTACATTCTATGGTGTCATCATTTTACCACGTCACGTGCAGAAACTTTTCCTCCTTTCTGTCTCTTTACCTTCTTCCATTTATTTATATTTGTCTTAAGCATTTCTTCTGTAATTATTCTACAGTGATACATGTTTTGCTTCAGCCACCAAGCATATTTAACAGGCCCAAGAAAAAAAGGAGTGTGTTTTTTTCTGTTCAAAGAATTTCCTTTGGGGAAAAAAATTTTTCCTTTGTGCTTTTTGTAGTGCTGGGGATTGAACTGAGGGCCTTCATATTGAGCTACATCTCCAGCCCGTTTTTTTTTTTTTTTTTTTTTTTTTTTTTTTTTTTTAATACATTGAGACAGTCTTGCTAAGTGCCTCAGTGCCCAGGCAGGGCTCCTCCTTCCTCACTGTCCCAGAGTCTTGGGGTCACATGTGTGCACCACCAAACCTGGCATCCTTAACCATTTTTTTTTAATCATTGAGTTTATTGGTACATTTTAGGTATACAGTACAGTTACATTCATCATTGGGATCTTGTACCTTTATATGACAGGTCTTGGTTCTCATTTTTTCCCCATATCCCTGCCCTCCCTTCGCCCCCTCCACCCTTCCCTATTTACAAAAGCTTTGCTTCCATATTTTAATTTTCTCATATTTTTTCTTTTCCCTTATTTCCTACTTCCCCTACACCTTTAGCCCTTTTCTGCACACTTGCTTAAGTCTTTTCCGTAGAAGCCACTCTGTTGGGTTTCTGTTGAAGTAGGGAGAGACTCTGCAGCTTTTTCTTCCTGTCCAAACCTCTCTTGCCAACATGGTGTTCCTGTCCCACTCAGTGCGAGTTGGGGCAGTGGACCCCTCTGCTGGTCACCTGTCAGCTCTGACTCAGCAGTGTCTGGTAGACTGTTGCTGACCTGGAAACAAGTTGTGTCTCTACAAAGAAGAAAAACAGTTCACTTTCTACTTAATGTGTACCTTTGATTTCATTTTTTATAGTGAAAATAAGAATCTGTACTTCTTTTCACTTCACTTGGCCATTCTGGTTTCAAAGGATAAGCTATAAGCTCTGTGTTTTTCTGTACTAATGTGTTGCTTATTTTTGTACAATGAGTAAAATTTGAGGTATTTTGCAAGAAAAATAAAAAGTTTAAGGCTTTTGCCATATATGAAATCTTTTATTATAGTGTCACATGTCCCTGAGGTTCCATTCACTCTGCCCCATCTTCTCCTTGGGCTGATTAGTTTCTTTTCCTCCATCTTGAGATTCACCAATTCTCTTATCCCTCAAGCCTGTCATTGAGCTGATCTTTTCTTTTCTTTTTTTTTTTTTTCATTTCTATTCTATTCTTTATATCATCCGTTTTACTGAGGCTTTCTACTCTGTGACTTGATTATTTTGTTGCTGTCATGTCTAATCAGTCACTTAAGTCATTTTGTAATGGCACCATTAAAATCGTAGGTAATTACAACATCTGTGTCACTGTGATGTTGCTGTCTGTTGACTATCTCTTGTCATTTCATCTGAGATATTCCTAATTCTCCTTAGGAGTGATTTTTTTGTTTTTAATTGAAACTGAAAGTAGCGTCATGACAACTGGGCCTCGGGATCTGATTTAAACTTTGAGCCACAGCAGACCTCCTCCTCCAGACCTGCTCTGGAGGAGGGCACCTCCCTATTCCGGCAGCTGGGTGTGGGCTGGTGTGTTGCCTCCCAAAGAAGGGGAGTCTTGGGCTCCCTGTTGGGCCTTTTCTGAAACCTTGGGGTGGGGCACAGGCTGGCTGGGGTTGCAGTGTTGCCTGTGGTTCCTGGCTGCTATAGCACAGTACTTAGCTAAAAGTTTTCTACCTTACTTGGCTGTACTCCTTTTCATGGTACTTGGATAGAAACTGGCTTTTGTGTGATGTTTGTTATCTGCTGCTTTTTTTGCTCCAGGTCCTAGGATATTGGAGCAGAGGGAACCCTGAGGTCTCCTTGGCTGCTGTGTTTTCTTTCCACCTTCAGGGGCTTATATCATATTTATTTTCTTTTCTCTTTTTGGTAGTACTAGGGATTGAACCCAGGGCTTTCACATTGATATTTTTTATTTTTTATTTTGAGACAGTCTTGCTAGGTTGCCCAAATTAGGCTTGAACTTGTGGTCCTTTCCCTCCAACTTCCTGAGTGCTGGGATTACTGGTTGTGTGCACCATCATGCCCAGCATGTGTTTGCTTTCATGTATCATCTAGGGTTTTTGTTTGTACTTGTTGAGGAAACATGAAGAGAATTTGTGTCCTCAGCCTTTGCAGTGGGGCATCTGTGTGTTTAATTTCTGGGGCTCAGTGTGTTTGAGTGGAGGTGTCACTGTGAGTCCAGTCTAGGATGCTGAGAGGGCACAGCAAACACAGTTCTCATCTGAAGTCTGAGATGAGAACCTCCTCTGATTGATTTCATAGTCAAATTTCTCAACAAAATGTGCACTATTGGATGGATGCTCTGGTCCCATAATCTGCTCCAGGCCTGAGTTTTTAAATCAGCTAGGAAAAATTTCTCAAAAATGACTGTTTTTCCTCCACTCATGCTATTGGCCTGTGTGTGTGTCCCTCCTCATACTGCAAACTGCAGAGCCACGTGGTTGGTAGAGAACCAGGAGGAGACAGATGGACTCCGATGAGCCACTGCTGCTATCACCATTCTCCAGGTGAAGAGGCCAGAGTTGCTTTTGTTTTACTAAAACAGAAAGGGCTCGATAAACTTAGTTTGATTTTAAGATTTTAAAACTGTGCTAATGCATTAGATACAGAAAGGTGGTAGCTCCCAACCAGCTTGAATCAGAATCACCTGAGATCCCTGGATCACCCAAGACCACTCACATCTGTCTGGGGTTGAAGCCTGGAAATGAGCATTTTCACAAATCCCAGAGACTCGAGTCCACGGTTGTTAGCAAACTCCTGTGTTAAAATCCTGTACTAGCCAGGCGTGGTGGCGCAAGTTTGTAATCCCAGCACTTGGGAGGCTGAGGCAACTACGTAGTTGAGACCCTGTCTCAACTGCCCCCCCAAATCCTGTACCAGTGTCGGGTTCTAACCCTCATTTGGCTAGGCGACGAGGACTTCTAGGTGGATGTCGAGACTCCAGGTTGCTTGCTTCCTGCTTCACTTCATCCCTGGAGCCTGAGGGAATTCGGCTGTGTGCCGGTGACTCACACTGCTGTTTGCCCTACCAGGTCTGTAGATTGTTTCAGAGTGAGCACCAGGCTGGAAAAAGAACCTGCCTTCTTTACTCACGACTTGGTGATGGAACAGGCAAACCGTGCAGTTCTAGAAAGTCCTTCCTCGATGGCTGGTCTTTGTGAGCTTAGAGTGTACTTTCCACGGAGGAGACAAGGCGTTCTCTCCCCTGACTGAGCAGCAGGGTTGGTGGGGTCTCCTAGGCGAGGAGGCTTGGCCTTAACTCCAGGCCTCTATTTCCCCTCCTAGGCTGCCTGTGTGGGCCCTGCACCGCTCACAGTGGCTGTTTCTCCCTCACTTAGTCCCAGCGCTTGGTCAGCACAGACCCACATGATTGTTATGTGACTCGTATCGATCTGCTCTTCTCTATCAACTCCTCACTTCCTGCTCTGATTTCCTTCTTAACTGTTCATTTGCTGTTTGATTGACTTACAAAGTGCCTTCTCACAGCCTCCTCTTCCCACCCCAAAATTGGTTTTTATCTTTGGGATCTTGAAATAAATTGTCTCAAAATTATAAATAATTGGTGCACTGGACTAATACATGCGTAATAGGAGCTTTATTCTGGTTTACCTATGACACCCAGTAATGGTCTCAGCTCCCATTTGTTGCGAAAATTTCTGACTATAAGATATTTTTGTATATGTCAGGGGCTTTTTTATACATTTTTTTTTCTTTCTGCTCCCCTGGGGCATCCCTTCCCCTCCCTGTAAACTGCGGTCCCTGCCTGGCTGTGTCCTCCCTCGCCGCCTGCCTGCAGGGTTCTATGGCCTCGACGAGTCGGACCTGGACAAAGTCTTCCATCTGCCCACTACCACCTTCATTGGGGGACAGGAGTCAGCGCTGCCTCTGCGGGAGATCATCCGTCGCCTAGAGGTAGGAATGTGACAGTGTCTGGAAAAATCTAGCAGATTTCAGCCAGGTGTAGAAAACGAAAATCACTGCAAGTTCAGGCAAGCCTGGGCTACACGGAGTTCAAGGCCAGCCTGAACTACACAAGTGAGACCTTCTTTTAAAAAAAAAAAGTAAGGAAGCCGGGCGTGGTGGCCCATGCCTGTAATCCCAGCACTTGGGAGGCTGAGGCAGGAGGATCACTGTGAGTTCGAGACCAACCTGGGCTACATAGTGAGTTCCAAGGCAGTCTCAACTACATAGTGAGACCCTGTCTCAAAAAACCAAAAAAAAGGGCTGGGGATTTAGCTCAGCGGTTCGGTGGCCTGACTTGCAAGCGCAAGGACCTGAGTTCGATCCCCGGTACCAAAAAGAAAAAAAAAAAAAAAACCCAAAAAAAGTGAGGACCAGGGATTTAGCTCAGTGGTTCTGCCACCTGCCTTGCAAGTGCAAGGACCCAAGTTCAATCCCTGGTACCAAAACAATAATAAATAAATAAATAAATAAATAATAAATGTATTTATTTATTTAAAAAAAGTGAAAAACTAGCAGATTTATCAGGAGTTTGCATTAGTAGGATGCCCTCAAGACTAGGTTTATTTTTTTCTTGTCCTATATTTTTTTTAAATGTAAGTGTAAGTATGTTTTTGTGATTAGCCAGAGAGAAAAAAAAATTCTGTGTTGTCAATTCCTGGAGTTTATTTCAGATGCATGTAGCTCTCTGGAGAGTTGCCTCCACCTGGGGGACAGGCCTGGAGCCAGTTGCTCCCCATGTGCACAGGTCCCAAGGCAGTAGGTGCTGGCTCTTGCTGCCCTTTCCCTCTCCCTCCATTTCTCTCATCCTCAGTTTTCTTTGTCTCTCGTTTCTGGACTTTGTAAATATATAGCCTGCCAGGAGCTCCTTATAACATGTTATAGACAGCAGCTGAATCTGGCTTGTGTCCAACTTGTGCCTTCTAGCTTGGACAAGTCGTCACCTCTCTGTTCACTCCAGCCTTTATGGGAGGCTCACTGCAGTGCCCGTCCCAGAAGGCAGGATGGGTTTGAGGGGGCCCATGCTCAGTGTTAGCTGTGACTTAGTGCTACTAACTGATTTGGATCCCATCAGTGGATCTGATGGCCCAACAAGCCCAGGTTGCACCTCAGTGGGCTCCCCATGGGTCCTATCCTGGCTGGACATCAGTCAGCCTGAGTCCTCAAAGCAGAATCCTCCCACCACCCTGGGCTTCCCCGCTGCGTTGGTGAGTTGGTGTGGTTTCAGATTTCTTGTGAGAGTTTGCATAGTTGGCTGCGAGTGGCCTGCAAGTTTTGGGCAATGGATGGAGCACTCTGCTTGGAGCTGCCTCATTCCTATCCTTCCTCAATTTAGGGTTCTGTGAGAGACCACACCTGTGTGCTAGCCTCAGGAGTGGGTGGCCAGGGTTCTGGGTCCTTCCTGTCCCCTCTGCACCACTGTCTCTATGCCAGCAGTGCTCTCTGGTCCTATCCTCTTCAGCACAGGAGCCACAAGCCACCTGGAACTGGGACTATTGAGCACTTGAAATGTGCCAAATGTCTGAGTAACATTTAATGCTGAAAAGATAATATGTTTGATATAGTGGCTCAAATAAGACAAGAAAACTTATTTTACCTGATTCTAGTAGGAAAACATAAATTACTAAGGCTTAAGTGTATCATGAAATTGTAAGCAGCTCATATCATATTTCTGCTGGCTGGTGCTGATCTGAAATTCTGCCATCCATACCCCACAGGCAGCATCCCATATAGCCTAGTCCTCCTCCAAGGGGTCCTGTCCCCAGGTAACTTGGCCACCCTTGTTTCCCACCCTCTGTCAGGTGTCTCTCATGTCGATCTCATACTGTCAGGATGACAGCCAAATGAAAGCTGTGTACACCAAGAGCCCCTCACTTCCCAGGAGTCTGGGCATGCTGTCTGGTCAGAAAGCTTGCCTGAGGACACCGCCCCAGAGAAGCCATGCGGTGCCCTTCTCCCAGCATCCTTTAGCACCTTCTTCCCAGGCACAGAATTGGGTGGGATGGGAGTGGTGACTGCCTCTGGATTAGGTATTGCTGAGTGTGGAGTCCCTCTGATTCCCACAGCAATCACAGGCTGCCCTCCTCTCTGCCCAGCCAGTGTCTGGACCCAGAAGGCCACAGCTTGGGGCACAGACATGCATATGACCTCACCATGGGCTGGTGGTAGGGTGGTTCTAGGTTTTGGGGTGGGTGTGGTGTAGTCTAGCAAGACTGAAGCTCTCAGTCCCATGACATACTACTCATCTTGCAGCTGTTGAGAAAAGGAGAGGAGAAGCTATGAAACAGCTCCCAAACTTGCTGCCCTTTGCTCCTGGGGATTGAGCTAAGAGCAGGGAAGGAAACATGACTCATTGGTCAGAAACTGCACCCACATGTTAATGGCTAAGTGATACTGATAGGTTGGGGAGAAATTGGTTTTTTAGCCTGACAGTTTCCTCTGAGCTTTAATTCTTCACTAATGGAAATCACACCTGCTGGGCTTAAAAGGGACTAAGGCGGGGCCTGAGCAGCACTCCATGCTGTCCTGCTGCCTCTGCCAGGGCAGATGCAGCAGTGACTGAGGGGAGAGTCCTCCCTCACTGGAGCAGACAGGGAGCTGCTCGCTGGTGTCTGCTCACATGGGCCCTGGGTCTGTGGGACAGTGACATTCGTAGAGAAAGGCACAGGGACTGAGGAAGGGCTGAGGGCCTCTGTAGGAACCCTGGACATAGGCAGCTAAGATGCATTTCCCAGACCCTGTCTCCTCTTCTCTACTCTCCTTCCCCTCCAGCCCGCCCTTCCCAGGGGCTCCTGCTTCTACAGAGCTGACTGCTGCCTCCTCTCCCACATGTCACCACACAGTTGTGGTTTGGGACATGTCGGGTCTGTTCCAGACCTGCTCCTCATTGTATGTGCAGTCACGTGCCTGTTTAAGCCTACAGTTTCTGAGGAGGAGTGTGGTCTGAAAGAGTGGATGTTGAAAACCTTAGTCTTTATAAATGGCCATTAAACCCATGGCAGCACATGTGTGTCTGTTCCGGTGCCGGCACAGGTGTCACTGTGAGTACAGTCGGCCTTTCCTGGGGACATGGCCAGTCTCCCCTGCCCCAAGGATAATGAATTGGTAGAACTAAGTGCTTCCTTGGCCTGACCCTGACAGACCTGAGAGATTCTCAGTGTGCAGTAACACAGGTGCCTAGCACTGGCCCCACTCAGCTCTGCTTTCTCAGAGCTTGGCTCAGATTAGTTGGAGATGGAAATTGCACCGCTTCAGCCAGCTGGCCTGCTTCAGCATTCTTTGGCAGGGGAGGGGGACAGTTGGCTGCTACCAGCTCATCAGATGCAGTTCGTGTCCATCAGTGATCCTTGTATCCCCTGTGTGGCGGGACAGGTAGCCTACTGCCAGCACATTGGAGTGGAGTTCATGTTCATTAATGACTTGGAGCAGTGCCAATGGATCCGGCACAAGTTCGAGACCCCTGGGATCATGCAGTTCACCAATGAGGAAAAACGGACCTTGCTGGCCAGGCTCGTGCGGTCCACCAGGTAAGGGACTGGCTAGGACCACAGATCTCACTCTCAGGTGATCTGTGGTCGTCAGTGGGGTACAGTCCTTGATGCGGCCACAGCCACCTGCCTGTGGGAAGATGGAGTGGTGAGCAGAGGCAGCCTCCGAAGCACCTTCTCGTCACCTAGGAAAATCTGACATTAGGAGGACAGGGGTATTGCTCCTTAAGGTTCTTGATTCCCTACCCAGGTTTGAGGACTTCCTGCAGCGGAAGTGGTCCTCTGAGAAGCGCTTTGGTCTAGAAGGCTGTGAGGTGCTGATCCCTGCACTCAAGACCATCATCGACAAGTCCAGTGAGAACGGAATAGACTATGTGATCATGGGGATGCCACACAGGTGGGTGTGGTGTGCAGGCATGCAGGGGTGGGGTTCACCAGCTGTGGGAAGGATGACCAGAGTCCCCCTTCTGTGTGGCTGGCCCACGCCACATGTGGTTCAGAATGGTATTTGGCTTGGTGTTAAGTTTTCTAAAGATCAAATGCAGTTTGATCTAAAGAGTCAAACCCTTGCCAGGGTCTGACTCGGAGCCCAGGCTGTTCTGATGCTGGGGCAGAAACGGGGTGGGCAGTGGTATGTGTGCACTTCCTACCCAGTGGTCTTGCATGCCTGCCATGCAGTGCCCACCTTGGCTCTGGGTCACAGCTGGTCCTGAGCCACAAGCCAAGGGGGAGCCCATCTTGGGTAAGAGCAGGCGTATGGAGCATCTATGCCCTGAGGATCTACTCACCTCGCCCTGTGTCCCAGGGGACGGCTCAACGTGCTCGCGAATGTCATCAGGAAGGAGCTGGAGCAGATTTTCTGTCAGTTTGATTCAAAGCTGGAGGCAGCAGATGAGGTGAGATGAGGCCTCTGTGTGGGCCTGTCTCCTGTGCTAGCCTCTGAGAACAGCTGGTGCCTCTACCCAGCAGCCCACCCCCTTCCCGTGGACTTCTTGTGCCCTGGGCAGGTGACCTTGGGGAAGGGCTGATGCCCCTCCTCCCACAGTGGGACGTGGGAAGTGAGCATTTCTTGCCAGCACCAGACTCACTCTTTGCACTGCAGGGCTCCGGAGACATGAAGTACCACCTGGGCATGTATCACCGCAGGATCAACCGCGTGACAGACAGGAACATCACCCTGTCCTTGGTGGCAAACCCATCCCACTTGGAAGCTGCTGACCCTGTGGTGATGGGCAAGACCAAGGCCGAGCAGTTCTACTGTGGAGATACTGAGGGGAAGAAGGTGAGGCCCCAGAGAGGCCTGTGAGACTAAACCCTGCAGTTCAGGGCTCCACACACAGCTCCACCAGGCCCAGGGCATGTCTCAGGCGACATGCTTTTGGGGTTTCAAACTTCTCTACCTGCCACATTGATGGTATATGCCTATAATCCCAGCGCTCTGGAAGTTTGAAGAAGGAGGTTCATAAATTGGAGTCCAGCCTGGGCAAATAGTAACTTAGCAAGACATTGTCTCAAAATATATATACAGGCCGGGCATGGTGGCGCATGCCTGTAATCCCAGCATTCGGGAGGCTGAGGCAGGAGGATCGCTGTGAGTTCGAGACCAGCCTGAGCTACATAGTGAGTTCCAGGTCAGTCTCAAATACATAGTGAGACCCTGTCTCAGGGGGAAAAAAAAATACACACACACACACACACACACAAACATATGGGGGTGCATGTGTGCGGGGCATGTGTATGTGTATGTAAATATATGTATCATTATATATTAGATATAAATATATCTATTAAACCAACTGAAAGGGTAGCAGTAGTAAAGTAGTCCCATGTGCAGACAGGCTTTCTCCTAAGTTGTAATCACTAGAACTAGAAGGGGAGTAGATTCATGTTTCCACACCTGCGGGGGAGCTGGTCAGCTACCCTTGGTGGACAGGGATGCTTTCATGGAACAGAGGGAATCTGCAAGGTCTGAGTAAGCCTGAAGGAAAAAGGGCAGGACTGGGGGACATCAGAAGAGAGTCTGCTGGGTTTGAGGCAGAAGCCCACTTCAGAGGCAGGCAGTCCCAAGGGTGGCTGGGGTGTTGCCGTGGCACTCTTGAGTGTGACACAGTGCTGACTAATGCTGGCCAGTCTGCACATGGAGAAACTCTCAGCAGATTGTAACCACTTGCCCTTTCTTAACCTTAAGTAGAATTCTGTTCACAACAAAGTCTAGTTTTTATTATGTAAGGATGGCCTAAGCCAGCACTGCAGTCCCAGCACTCAGGAGGCTGAGGCAGGATGTTCACCATAAGTTTGAGGCCAGCCAGGCTTGGACCACAAGGCAGTTACTCCTTGGGAGGGAGGGCAGGTCTTTGGTGGAATTGGTCAGCTTACTAGGTTGTGCAGTTTAAAATACTGTGAATCTGCTTGGTGGCATAAGAGGAGGAGACAGAGCAGGCCAACTTGGCTTTGGGAGCCAGAAGTGATTCCTCATTGAGGACACTTGCTGTCCCAGGAGCAGAGCTTAACTCCACAGCCTCACACTAGGCTTGGGTGGTGCCACAGAAACTCCAGGTAGTCACAGAGGCCCCAGCTCTGTTAGGCGACATGCAGCCCCCATGTCCACATACAACACGAGTGAGTGGGAGGGCTTATGCTAGGAGAGACCACATGGGGGTGCCCAGTGCCCCCTAAGGTTTCCCTGACCTTTGCTAGTACTGGGGTCAAGTGGTAGAACTCAATTCGGAGAGCTTTGGTGACTTACAAAACCCACTGGACCAATCCTTGCTTACAACACTGGAAACGTCCTGAAAAGTAATGCACTGATAGAGGAGGTAGCAGAGGATATTTAAAACTGCTGCACATGGCTACACAAGGCCATCCTTTGGTCAGCTGTTAGGACAGGGAGGCCAGCTAGTAAGTACCCTCTCGCTTGCAGATGTGCATGTAGAGTGAGTCTCCAGCCCTGTGTGGTAGAGAGTGGTCCTGGCCACCCTCAGCCCGGAGGCTGCCAGCAATCTCCTGCCCCACCTCTTCATCTTGCCCCAGGCCCTCGAACATCCTCTGGGGTTCAGCCTGCCTGTTTTCCTTGCTGCTTCCAAACCCTCAGGGAATTATTTGATTTTTGCTAAATCTTAGCACTCAAGAAGCTGGCATGCATGTTGCTTAACCTCAGTGTTGATGAAAAGTTATGTACTGTCTCCCAGAGCCTTGTGCACAATCAGGAAACACCTGATTTGACTCATGCAATGTGGCCCAGGGGACAAGTGTGCACAGAAGCAATTGCGCAGTGCAGCGGTGCAACCTCCAGACCCAGGCAAGTCTGTGCCTGTGCGTGGGGTTGCGGCACCAGCTACATCAGTGCTCTGTGATATCACAGAGAGTCTGGCTCCAGGTGCCCCTGCTGCAGTAGAGACTGGTGGAAATCCTGTGCAGGAGGAAGCTGTGTGGGGATCGAGAGAAAATGAAACGGCCGTGACTTAACTCCAGCCACTCTTGATCCCAGCAAGACAAGAATCCAGGCATTGTGGCAGAGCTGCACACCCCTCCAGGGCCCCCAAGCAAACTGGACACTGTGTCCTTTGTCCAGCTGTCTTTTGAGCATCCTTCACAGCCAAGAGGCAGGACATGTGCTGTCTTGTTTTTAAAAATTGTTGAAAAGCGAGTCCTAGACCTTCCCTTGCTGGCAAGAGGACTTGGCACAGGATTGAGGACCCAGGTGATGATGAAAACTTGGGAGGTGCAGGTCTGCAGGCCCAGAGGCAGCATAGCACAAGGGGTCGTGTCACATGTCACCTTGCTGGCCAGACACCCATGGAGATGTTTCTGTAAAGGCATTCTTGAGATGAGAGTCACATTTGAATCCGAGGACTTTGAGGAAAGCAGGTGAACCCCCACCTGTAGGTGGACCTCACAAGCTCAGTTAAAAGCCTGCAAAAGAAAACTGAGATCTCCAGGGTAGAAGGAATTTGCCTTTAGACAGCTGCCAGACTCATCCTGTATCCTGAGCTCCTCCCTGCCTGTACCTCTCCATCCTGCATGTCCTGCAGTGTGAACGTGCTGGCTGGGTCCCACCCTCTGGAGAACTGTGGCTAGAACAGGCTAGGAGAGGCGGAGACTGCCAATCCAAGGAGCTGGGGCTGGGGTACACTGAGTTCATGGGAAGTGCTGCAGGCAGTGCGAGTGAAGGGCCTAGCAGTTGGAGGGGAAGTTGACAGGTGGAAGGAGGCAGCTGAGCAAAAAATGTTGGATTGGAATTGGGAGGATAAGTCTGAACTCAGTTTTATTTTACAGATACCCATAGATACAGAAATAAACCATGTGTGCACCTACCTTTTCCAGCTCTGTGCTCACAGGCAGGTGACACAGCATACAGAAACTGGTCCTAAGTCCCCTCCCTGCCTGAGGAACTGGGCCAGGCCAGAGCAGCACAGCAGGGTGTGCCCAGAATGCCATTTGCCCTGAGCAGGCAGCTCCAGTGCTGCTGTTACATACAAGCTGTCAAGTCACACAGGAGCCCTGGGCACAGATTAATACAAATGAGTAAATGGAGGCGGAGGGAAGCCGTTCTGCAGAGAATCCCAGCTTCTAAGTGTAGACATGATAGAAGTTAGCTGTTGCCATCTGTCCTCACCTGAGGAGCAGGCTCAGGTGTGTAGCTGATGCTGCTGAGGCTGGGGTGGAGATTTGGGGTGGAACAGGTAACAGTCTCCTCCCAAAACAGACTAAGAAGATGGTTTCTAAGGGGAACACAACGGACAGCAGCCTGCCTGTGGAAAGCAGCCCAGGCCACAAATCCTGGGGGCGTTCAGGAGGAGGTCTCTGGGGGTGCCAAGACTTGTGTTGGGAGCTGTTGGTGGCAGAACGGTGGGGTGTGGATGTCAAGCAGGTCCACCAAGGTTTTAGCAACCAGGCTAGAAGGGGATTGGGATCATTTGTACTCTTCTGCCTTCTCAATTTTAAATTATCTTGAAACATTATTTTTGAAAAACAAATTGTAGTGCATTTCCTCCATTTGCCTCATAAGCTCAGCAGTCGGGAGGTTTTAGATTTGGGGTTTTCTTTGCAGGTGATGTCCATCCTCCTGCATGGAGACGCTGCCTTCGCTGGCCAGGGCATCGTGTATGAAACCTTCCACCTCAGCGACCTGCCATCCTACACGACCCATGGCACCGTGCATGTGGTAGTCAACAACCAGGTAAATGGACAAGAAGGCTCAACAGCCTCTCTGGAGGGTCCCCTTGGTCGTTGTTTCCTGATTATTAAAAGGTGTCTTTTGTTAAAAGTTTGGAGAACACAGAAAACCACTTGCTTTAAATGAAGAGATTTTACTTTGATAATAAAGATGCCTTTATTGTTTTGGTTCATTTCTTCTAGACCTTCCGGCACACCAGTGGTTATTTTTCACTTTAACAGTGTGGGGTCCTGGCAATATAGCTCAGTGGTAGAGAATGTGCCTAGCATGTTCAGTCTCCAGCACAAGGTGAAGAAAGCTAGTACACAGGCCACACTGGGTGCTGAGAAGGGAAAGGAGGCTGGGAGGTGGACAGTAAGCGGCTGTTCTCTGAGGATCTAGAGCTCAGTGGAGACAGAGCTTGGTCAAATAGGGAGATGTTGGGGTACAGAGACTGAGGTGGGGGGTGCTCATGTGTGAGGAGTGGCTGAGATAGTCACAGGTGGTTAGTGTGGGAAGAGCTGCATTTGGCCAGCTCCTGAGGAGGATGCGGTCCAGACAGAAGTATGATATAATACAGTGTGGTAAAAAGCTACCAGTTAGGGCCAGGGATTTAGCTCAGTGGTGCCACACCTGCCTCACAGGCTAAAGGTCCTGAGTTTGATCCCTGATACCACCCTGATACGTGTTGGTGCACGCCTGTAATCCCAGCACTTGGGAGGCTGAGTTAGGAGGATCGCTGTGAGATCAGCCTGGGCTACATACTGAGTTCCAGGTTAGTCTCAACTACATAGTGAGACCCTGTCTCAAAAAACAAAAAAAAAAAAGGCAATTGAAAAAGCCACCAGTCATAAGTGCCTGTTGGTATCAGAACAGCAGATGGGGTAATCATGTACGCTAACTTAATCCATAGGGTGGTTACCCATACAGAGGGTGACATTGTTGCCAATTTACAGAAGAGAAAATGGAAGAGCAGAGACGAAGTGGTGTGCTGCAGGATAGGGCCGGGGATTTAGCTCAGAGGTTCCACCGCCTGCCTTGCAAGCACAAGGACCCGAGTTCAGTCCCCAGTATCAAAAAAAAAGAAGAATGACAGGGCCACGCTATAATATATCTTCCCTCAGGGAATAATATGAGGAAGATTTAGAAAGAATTGCCAAGGAAAGAGTGAGGTCTAAAAACAACAAAGCCCACTACTGAACTTTATTTTCCTTCATTTTTTCTCCTGGCAAAATCCATATGTACTGTGGCTGAGGATGTGGCTCAGCAATAGGGCGCTTGCCTGGTGTATGTGACTCCTGGGTTCCGTCTCCACCGCCAGCTCCCAAAAGTACACATACAATACATATCTTGTTTTTGTTGAGATGGGGTCTCACTAATTCTTCCCTCTGTTCTGCTGCACAGCACCTTTATATGGTTGGTTGGTTTTCAGTTCTAAGCTTCTTGTTTGGTTCTTTCTGTATCTTCTGTTTCTTTGCTGAGCCTTTGTGGTTTTCCCTAGGTAGGGGAGAAACTGCTCCCCAGTGGCCTCACCCTGCTGGCCAGTTGTGTAAGGCTGGAGTTTCCTCAGGCCACCAAAGGGTATGGGGGCCTAGAGATCTAGTCACCATCAGTGTGGGCCTGAGGAGGCCTTGGCTGTGTGATGAGGGCAGTTTTTGTTCTGCACAGTTGGACCCAAACAGTTACTGTCTTCCCAGGTTGTCTTTTCCCTGGTCCACTATCTGACCTGTTGATGTCTCCATGTTGTTTATCCCACTAGTGCTCAGTGGTACATAACAAGGCAGAGAGGATTCTGGGAGCTGAGAGCCCTAGCCATCTGCCTTCTTTTGACTCCAGGGTGTGGTTTGACCTGCCTGTGCCATCTAAGAGGGCTGAGAAGAGCACAGCTCCTCTGTCTTAATGGCAGTGTGAGGCCTGTGGAGGCTTTTTATAACTGCAAGTTCAATTTCTTTATTACACATAGGACTATTTCAGGTTATCTGTTTTTTCTTGAATGAGCTCCAGTAGTTTTTTTTTTTTTTCAGGAAATCTGTCCATTTAAGTCATAGGATTTATAGGCATAAGGTTTGTGACCATCTGTGACTGGAGTGTAGGATCTGTAGAATATCCTCCACCTGTTCCCGATTTGGGATGTTCGCATCTTCTCGTCTTTTCCTGGTTAGATTTGTCTTCTTTCCCCCTGGAGCAGCTTGGTATCCCTGCAATTCCTGTTTCCTACTTCTTTGGTTTCCCTTTACTTGCTTTGGGTTTAATTAATCTTCTCTAGATTCATAGATCATTGACTGGGGCCCCTCTTCCTTTGCAATATAAACAAAGAACATTTAAAGTTTTGAAACTTAGTACCACACAAATAAAGAGCAGGACTTGGGATTTGTTCAAGTTATTTTGGCAAAACATCACGCATTTCAGTTGAACACGAATGAGACTGCATCTTACCATGCTGCAGTGTTGGAAAGGATACAGGGAGCTGGGTGTGCGCAACCTAATTCCTGTGCTGTCTGAGAGCTGCTTTCAGGTGTGAGTGGTGTGTGTAGCAAGGGGATGAGGAGCAGGCCCAGGCCCAGTGAGAGGCCCTTACCAGAAACAGATTTCGGCTGAATGAGAGACAGACCCTCCCACAGTCAGGACTGTGCAGCAGGAGTGTGGTTTCCCTTCCTCCTCTTCCCAGGGGGGATCTTAGAAAACTGGTGAGCAGACTGTCAGGAGGTGGGGGCTTCCTTTGGGGCCCAGACTGGCAGTTCCACTTAGCAGTGTCTCCTCCTAGCAGTCCCACAAGTATAATAGATACCAGCACGTGTGGGGTGCCCCTCCGTCATCCATATGTGTGCCCATGCACATGCCTTTGTGTGCTTAATGACATAGAAGCTCCTAACTGTGCTGGGTTCGGGGGTGGGGGGTTTCTGTGAGGCTCCTAATCGTGGCCTGGCGTGAATGCTGATTCTGCTACCACCCCCACAGAGTCCTGAGACCTATTACCAGCTGAGGTCATTCTGGCTCCTTCATGTATCAGAGAATCTGTGTGGTTTGTTTGTTTGGTACTAGGGATGGAACTCAGGACCTTGTGCTTGCAAGGTAGGCGTTACACCACTGAGTTAAATCCCTGGCAGAATCTGTTTTTTTGTTTTGTTTTATTTTGTTTCAGAATCTGTTTCTTAATGTTCTCATCAGTGTGTGACTGTTTCTAATATTGTCTTTAACCAGTGTGAAAAGAAAGATTGTTTGCAAGCATTTTAACATGGACTTGGAATTCTTAGGCCTCTCTGAAGAGCACTTTTGTTAATTTTTTTTTCCTTTTTCTTTTGCCGTGCTGAGGATGGAATCAGGGCCTGAGATATGCTAGGCAAGTGCTCTGCTGTTGAGCTACACCCCATCCCTAGCTGCTAATATTTTTTTCTCCCTTTCCTGCTTTGACTTCCTGCTTGTGAGGTGGTGCAGGACCAGGAAGTTTGATTGCAGGAGGCTGCATTGTGGGAACTCTTCTCTTAATGCAAAACTAGAAATTCTCCTTGGAGAAGTCTTGTCTAAAAAGGTCATCAGATGCTCAGTATCCTTGCATAAGAACATCTGTCAAGGACCGGGGATTTAGTTCAGTGGTTCCACCAACTGCCTCAAGCGCAAGGACCTCAATTTGATCCCTGGTACCAAAAAAAAAAAAAAAAAAGAATACCTATCAAAACCATAATTGTGCTGACACAAAATAGGAAAGAAGTTGTATATCCAAGAGTAAAAGAGTTCTTACATAAAATTTGGCGAAGCCTTGGGGGTATTATATAACCATTAAAATGTTTATTATCCTGGGGAAATAGCCACAATATGGTAAATGGAAAATGCAGGATATTCATATGCTGCTACTGGGAGTGTTAATAGAAAAACCACTCTTGAGAGCAGCTTAATAGTAATGGGAAAGATTTGCAATGCTCCTGTTTTCCCTTTCTAGGAGAAACCGCAGATAAACACAATGCTTGCAGGAGAAAACCTGGATAAGAACCTGCACAGCTGCTTTTTTTGTTATTGTTTTGTTTTTTTGTTTGTTTTTTGAGACAGCTCTCACTATATAATTGAGACTGACCTGGAACTCACTATGTAGCCCAGGCTGGTCTCAAACTCAGTGATCCTCCTGCCTCAGCCTCCTGAGTGCTGGGATTACAGGCGTGTGCGCCACCATGCCCGGCTCATCGCTGCATTTTTTGTATTAACCACAAATTGGAAATGAGCAGGCGATCTGATCAGTATACATGGTGTACACTTGATAGGTCCACACAAGCTGTACTAAGGGGAAGAACTGTGTGTTCATGTGTGTGTTTCCTCATAGGGATGTTGAACAACAAATAAGGTGCAAAGGGTTTGCACAGTGTGTAGAGTGATGCCATGTGTAAGGCACATGGGGAAATGCTGGGGCCAGGGATGTAACTCAGTGGTGCTGTGCCTGCCTGGTGAGCGTAAGGTCCTCAGTTTGACCCTGGTTCCATACACACAAAAAGGAAATGATCCAGAAATGTCAGGACCCTGAGAAGCCAAGGAAGGCGGCAGAGCCTTGCATATGAGCATGGGAAGTTACTAGGAAGGGGTGGGCTGCGGATCAGCTCATGGTATTATCAGATGTAAAGTGCTGGAGGCCAAGCTGCACTCTGGGAAGGAAGGGACATCCTTGCTCTGGGAAGCAGTGAGTCTGCAGCTGGCCCTAAGCGGTGTATGTGACGGGTGTGTGTGATAAAGTGGAAGGCATATGGAACCACTGGGAAATCAAGCGGGGACTGTGGGAGCACTTCCTAGCCTCTTTCCAGCTTCATGGGTGAAATCAGACCAAAATTTAAAAGGTACCTATAAAAAAACCTAAGAAGATACAGTTTGTGGACATAGGGAAAACAAATAGCAAGTCTCTGAAATGCCCTGTGGTTTCAGGCAAGGAAGGTCCTGGCTCAGGCTCCAGCAAAAATGTACAGCAGGAACCAGGCATGGTGGTGCACACCTGTAATCCCAGCCTTCAGGAGGCTGAGGCAGAGGCCTGCCTGGATTGCATAGCATAGTAAGACCTGTCTCAAGAAACCTAAGAAAGGGCCGGGGATTTAAGCTCAGCAGTTCAGTGGCCTGCCTTGCAAACGCAAGGACCTGAGTTCAGTCCCTGGTACCCCCTAAAAAAAAGAAACCTAAAAAAAAGGAATAACAAGAAAGGCCCAGAAGCCATTTTGGGTTAACTATTTAGATTTCCTAGTGTTAGGTTGTTGGGGTCATGGGTGATTAATACAGTATTATCACTTGTATTTCAAATATTTTATAAAAATTGTAATAGCTTGGTAAGAGGTCACATGCCTGTAATTCCAGCACTCTGGGAAGCTGAGGCAGGAGGAATTGCAAATTCAAGCCCAGCCTGGGGAACTTAATGAGACCTGGTCTCAAAATTTAAAAGGTGTGGGTAATTGGGGATTTAGCTCAGCATGAAGGCCTTAGGTTCAATCCCCAGTACCATAAAATAAAATTTAAATGCAGGTCATAAAATTATGAACACATAGTGACATTTTGATACATCTGAACAGAGGGGAATATTGGGAAAGCCTTTATACATTTTTTTTTTTTTTTTTT